AAATTATGTCAAAATGAACATGTCTAAATCCATTGCATTAATGAACAAAACAAGATTTCTTAAATCAAGATGCATTGTTTACTTTATACTTCTCATTAATAGTACCATACATGAATTATTGTGCTGAGGTATGCGGAAGTACTTATAAAACAAATACTAACCCTATTTTTTTTACTTCAAAAGAAATAAATAAGAATTGTGAATAAGATGAGGTATTATGAATCAACAAATCCATTACTCATTACATTAAATATTTTAACATGTAAGGATATAGTAGACTTTAAAATAATGCAAATCGTGTACTGTATAAGGTAAAAATGGGTTGCTGCCACAAAGTATCCAGAGGTTGTTGAAAAGGAGATATAGCCAATATGCTTTGGAGGAGTATGTGTTTTTAAAAAAGTAAGTATCAGAACCGATGTAAATAAAAATCACTGTATATTAGTAAGGGGTGTGAATTTATGGAATACGTGTACTGTCAGGCTAAAAACATGTATGACAATTGTCAAGCTCAAGAAATTATTTAAAATCAAAATTATGGAGGAATATAAAAAACCCCTCTAAAACAAACATAGATAACTGATGATGGAAATTTAAACAAAAAAGTCTGATGTAATGACTGACGCTAATATGTGGAGGATGTAAGAGGGGTAGGCAGTTATGAGTTGGAGCCTCCGCCTGTAGCCTTTTGGTCTGCTCTATGGAAAATAATCTTTTCCTTTCTTTTTCTTTTTTTAAAATCTTTTTATGAAATCTTCATGGGATGTATTTAATATAAATGCATTTGTTTTCTTCAAGAAAGAATTATTGGAACATACAGTATGTTGTGTAATGTTGTATAGTAGATGGACCTAAATAAATTCATTCATTCATAAAGATGAGACAGAAATGATTGAAATGGTCTACTGTAGTAGCTAACTGATTGAAATGTCCAGCTTCAACTATTCCATTTCCAGTAACATGAGCATAACACTATTCAGTTTTATATGATCAATAGTGTTAAAGAGCATCCGGTGTAAAATCCATCCAGCACCACATTTAGAACACAGCGGGTGGTGTCAATCAAATGGTGTTTGACTTGTTTTGACAGGCTGTGGGGGAAACCTTCATCAGACAAAAGGGATCCAGTGCTGTAGACAAGGAGGGATAAGAACAAACTGTCTGGAAATGGAGGAAATGGGGGAACAAAGGAAAAGGAAAAAAAGAGGATGAGATGAGGAATTCAGCTTGAATTTGGGAATTCAAAACAAAATGTGGTATTCTAATGAGCAGACATCATTTTCAAGTCTAGAAAAAAGCAGCATGCTCAGTCTTCTGGATATCAGTACCATTACTTTTTTACAAGTGATCACCTACTCCAGCTTCCTCCCACAGTCCAATAACATGCAGCTTAGGTTGACTGGTGACTCTAAATTGCCCATAGGAGTGTGTGTGTGGTTGTTTGTCACTAAGTGTCAGCCCTGTGATAGGCTGGTGACCTGTGCAGGGTGTACCCTGCCTCTCACCCAGTGTCAGCTGGGATTGGCACCAGCCCCCCCATGACCCTATTCAGGATGAGCAGTATAGATAATGGATGGATGGAAGTGATTACCTCATTAGCATTTACCACCAAACCTCCCCCACACAGCATTATCATCAAATAACCCTCCCACACAATGTGCCATACAATCATACATTACAGACACTAGTAGAACAGTCCCATGGTGTGTAAGAATATGTGTCAGAAAAAAAATCACGTTAGTCTACTATGGTATTGTCTGTGCTTTGTAAATTAACAGTATGAGCTGACTAAACCTACTGCCCTATTGTCATGGTAGTCAAAAGCCTATTAGGCTGCTCTCATAACCCCCTTGTTAATCATTACACACAACCAAGTGTGGCACCATGACGGTATACGGGAACGATGGCCCGATAGCTGAGATAGGGAACTGCATCTCAAATCAAATGTTATGCTTAAAATAAATCTATATCTGTAACAAGGAGAGTGTGAAAAATCAATCAAGATCAGTGTGACGGGGGATTTTGTGGGAAGTGTTGCTATGGAGGAGAATGCAAAGTGTGAAAAAGAGAGCGAGCGAGGCTACATCTTCTCTGTCAACTGCAGATTAAAGTGACCTCTGGACCCGAGCCTTTGATGTTTTCCTAATTACCTTGTCTTGTCACCCTGACAAATGGCACTGAGAATTTTCTCTTCTTCTGTTTGCAGTATTGTTTACAAAACCTGACATGATGACATTTGTTGAGCGTATGCAGAAGTTTCAGTGAGAGTATTTTGCAGAGAGATTTTGGCTTTACTACTGTGTGTATTACGGGAGCCTGATCAGTTGGGTTTAGTAATGGGATGCCTTTTTCTCCCTCAGTGTCTCAACTCATGGTCTCTGCTGATACCAAGTGCCAAACCAGTACTGAGAATGGGCAAGTAGGAGTATCAATGTAAAAATGTTCTATTAGCCTATGCTCTGCATCAAAATCTTACTTAAATGGACAAAGTACATTTAGCTAAAGTGTACTTCAATTATTAAAAGTAGAAGTTGTGACTGTGCAGAAAAATGGACCCTGTGAGTGTGATATTATAATATTTGTGGATTATTAATAGGCCTGCTGATGCATTGCTGGTTGAGTTGGGGCTTCGTACTGCTGGGTAGTTTTATCAGTAGTAATACAGTGTATTATATAAACTGTTTTCACATTTTGTATATAAAATTACCATCTGCACAGTAACTACAGTGGTGGAATGAAATGTACAAACTGTTTTTCTCTGAAATGTAAGAGAGTAGAAGTATAAAGTTGCATAAACTGGAATATACTCAAGTAAAGTACAAGTACCTCAAAATACTACAGTACATGGGTAAGTGTATTTACTGTAGCTACATTTCTTCACTGGACTGTATTTGTTTCAGATGTAAAATCTTGGTTCTTTACTGTCTGGAACCCATGGGGACCATCTTTATGTAAGGTAAGTTGGTGACTATAACTAATGACATTAATGAAGAAACAATATTTAATGGACAGTAAATCTGCCACATCAGGTCGAAAATAAGGTCCCTTCAAAAAACCTCTTGTGTGGCACCAGTTGTCTTGGTGAAGTACCTTTGCTAAAGACCCTGGGGGTGCTGTAATGTAACTTCTGGCATCCTTCATAAAGAACTAGAGACACATGCTTTCACAGACACAGGGTCTGATTAACTGTCAAGAGGGCATGGGGCATAAAAGGGCTGCGGGCCCCAGAAGGACAGAACCCATCAAAGAATAAGTAAACAAAGCAAAGAATCTGACTGAGCATTTAATACACATCCAGTACCTGACACTTCAGTACCCTGTGCTATCAGTATCAATGTCTTAAAGGAAATGTTTGACATTGTGTCCTTGCCAAGAGTAACATTAGAAGATTAGACATTCTGAGACAGGATTCGACAAGTCTGGAAAGTTATCACAACACCTACTTGCTATTTCATCATTTGTTCATGTTAGAAATGAGACCTTGCACAAAATCGACTGGGCAGCATTTGCCTGGTTCACCTGTTTTGCCAAACAATCCTGTATTGTTTTGCTGCTGCCCCCCGTACTGGCATCCCTGCTGCGCCGATAGACCGGCTCCATTCAATTTCAGTCAGTCCATGAATAGCTGTAAAAGTGATAAGTCGTTTTAAAAAGCCAACCAACCGGAGTGCTCGTGCTTCCACTTAAGTCACTATTTCTTCCAGCAGCCCAGAGTCCATACCCAGCTGCACACAGACATTAGACAGAGACGTCCAGGCCCGGTTCATACTTGGCGGGCTCCCGGTGCGCGTGGCCGCAGCGCTCGCGTCAGCAGAGGGAGATCAGCACCCTGGACAGCGGCGCCTGGTCAATAATAAAGCAGCCGGAGCTCCTTCCCCGCCTGCTGCCGGGAGCACGGGGAGAGGGCACCCAGTGGAGGCGGAGGGACGGCTACATGGACAAATAGTGACTTGTTTACAGGATGGCAATCAAGGTGTTTTCGCCTTCTCTCCATTCCGGAAGTAGCTGCTGCGCTGGTTCAATCTCCAAGCCGACCATTTCGAGGAGGAAAATCAGCGCCAGCATATCATCACCACCATCTATGTGATCCAATAATCAATGCCATTACCGCTGTGTAATTGCTCTGGGATGCGAAGACATTTCACGCGTCTATTTCGTCTTTCTCTAATCAGAGAAATCGCAGGGTGCCTTTATTATTTTGCCTCTGACATTTCAGCGTTGCCTACACCTTGTTTTGGCTTGCAATGAAATGCTGATGGACATCGAGCGGAGATGAGAAACACGGGGCTTTCGGGTGTTTTGTGTTGCCATGTTTTCAGCTAGGCTTCAGAAAATGCAAATGGAAAGGGCTGTGCTTTTTGGTCTCGACGATCTGGATTGTCGGAGTGAAAGGTACGGATTCTTCGTGGATCAGCCAGGGGCTTTACAGAAAGGAGATGGAATAGAGTGAAAAGGGACCATGATCAGACGCGTGGGATGCTACACTGAGGGACAATAAAACAGACATAATCAAGACCAAATCAAACTTGAATTTCATCTGCCGCACCCCTGATTTGCTTTTTGGATTATGATTCTCGACCAGAGTCCCAGATGTGACTGTATGGATGGCATGTCGTTGTATTTTACTTCCCATCTCCTACTGCCTGGCTCTGTGTTGCTTTCCCTTCCACTCGTCCACTCTCTCGCAGTCTTCTGCTTTGGGTAGCAAAACATGTAGGCTATTTTTGCTGCAAGCCCAGTGCATCTGAAAAGAGGTATCTTTGAGAGCAGCGGCGAAGAAAATGGACCGTGGAAATCAGAAATCGTGCAAGTTGTAATGTTTTCCGGGCTGCCGTGGAAGATGCATCTAGACAGCGTTTGCCGAGTTGAGTAATGAATATTGAAAAAGTGTGTCGGCCAGCTGAAAGGGAAAATCTTTCATCCGCATTGGCTTAGACACACATGCCATCAGTGGGGCGAGAGCCTTTTCTCTGGCTATAACAATAATAACAACAACAATAATAATAATAATAATAATAATAATAGAGGGAGAGGAGGAAAGACAAAACACCTCATTTATTTATTTCGGTCTGGCAGATTCTTTATGTAGCCAAACATGTTCAAGTATCGGATCCGCATGTTTTTCAATGAACTGAAAGTCCTGGTGTTTATGCGATCCGATTCGAGACAGTCCGGCTCAGACACAGATAGACGGTCCACCACCATGCGAGGTCTGGGGATGGGCGGCTGCGGTTGGCCGCCTTTCGTCGACTGCCATTCCCGGGATGACGAGGAGGAGTACTACGGCAGCGACCCACGGCCCCGGAGCCTGGCGTTTGAGGACAAGGAGCCCAAGCTGCAAGTGGGCCTGGACGCCGTGTCTCTGGCCAGCACCGCCAGCAGCCTGCGGACCCCCCAGTGCCGGATCTGTTTCCAAGGCCCAGAGCAGGTAGACGATCAGCAGAGAATTGCTTCCTAATGCTGATGCCACGTCCTGTGTGGCTGGCAGACAGACAGTCAGACACACAGACAGAGAGCCTGTTTGTTTCACATTTTTGTGCCTAAAATGTGCTGCACACAGCCTTTGTGGTGTGCTGTGGAGAGCAATTTCACCATGCACGAATAGTTTCACATCAGGAAGTTTGTCTATCTTAATAATCACACTGGGTTTTTTTATTCTAATCTGCTTTTTTTTAATTTAGCAAGTCACAAAGGGTCTGTGGAGCTGCTACAGCTCTCCTGCCCTACAGTACATCTCTCTTTCTGGCACCTAACTTCCCCTGAAAAACAAACTAGGATGAGGCCTAGGATTTTGAGTCATGTAAAATCAGTCAGTCAGATTTATTTATACAACCCAAAATCACAAATTTGCCTTAAAGGTTTTACAGCATACAACAAGCTTCCTCCTTACACCCCTGATTTGGAGGCATATATTGTCCTTTACGTGTCCTGAAAAGATGACTGCTTGGTGATCTGGTTATCTAAACAACACTGTTTTTATAACTAAGCTAATCAGTGGCGGAGAGGCAGCAGTACCCACACATCTGAAATCTGGCCAGCATAGCAACAAAGAAAGTTAGCCAATTAGGTCTGCAGAATGACAAACAGAGTGCGAGGGACTGAATATGCATGAGTCACAATCACTTTGTAAATGTAAATCAACTGTCCCCTGTCTGCATGTGTCACAGAACAGGATGATCAACTATTGATCTTGTGTTGGTCACTGTTTCCGGCCGGACAGTGTTGTTCATTGTGATGATAAATGACAAGTGAAATGAATTTGTCATAATCCCCTCCACCCCCCCAATTTTTGTACGTTTTTTATCTCCTGCTGTTGATTTTTCCAGAACCCAAACAAAACAGTAATACATCTCTCTTGGTTTGTGGCCAAATGTCGGTCTCACCAGATGTGCGGGAACCTGTGCCGGCTGGCTCGGCAGGTACTCCTGAAGCCTGAGATAATTAGAAACACTGTAAATCCTGTAGGAGCACAGATGGATATTATCATTTAGTCACTTCACTAAGATAGGCGTATAGTGTTATTACAGCCCATGTGTTAATTTATGACATCTGCCATAGAGTTTCTATTGTGAGACATAGTAAACTGGAGAGCCACAGGACAGAGTAGAAATCAGTTCAGACTTGTGTTGGATATGAGGCCATTTGATGTTACAGACAGGGATCAATCCCAGGTTACTGTCGTTCCCACTCTTTAATAAAAGGTTGATGTTTGGGGCTTTGGGATCTCAGGCAAGGTGACTCATCATGCAACATGCCTCTGAGCTGCCTCTTTCAGCTACAGACAAAGAGCAAGCAAACAAAGCACTGAGGGAAAACCCTGGGACTACATCGCTACATAAGCTCCTCACACTGATGCTAGCCTAGTTTTCACCTCCACGGCATTCAGTTTTCTACTCTGTGCAAAGGTAAAATGCCTTTTACCTCCTTGGGTGCAGAGTGGGGGAGCACACGTTTGCCATTTTATTGTTATTTCATTATTCAAGTAAGTCACAACAGGAGCTGGGATCATGTTGCTGTCAGCGAGCCAATTACCTACAGACATAATCACCCTGCTCTGTGTGCTACATGAGTATGAGTCCTTATTAACTGTCTGTCAAAGGTACCAGCGTGTGCCATGATACAGTAGCTGGGCCACTGATTCCGCTTTACGCTGTGTGGATTCACAGGAGCAGTGAGGGAGTTCGCTGGAGGGGCCGGTGTTAGGTTTGCATGGAGAGAGTGGTGGAGTGAGGAGGGGTGGTGGAAGTGGTGATCACCCTGCATGCCCTTTTCTCTTGAAGTGCCCGGCAGCTGGTTTCCACAGGGACGCACATTCTGGAGCTCATGGGGCACTTCCAAAATGTTTGTCGAAAGGTTACAGCTGAGGAGGAAGACCATTTCAACCATTTCAAAAAGTGACGCACCAAATTAACACCTTCATGCTCTGTGAAGTGGCCTTAAGGGACAAACCCACGCTGGCCCAGCTGAGCAGAAAGTGTGTTTGCGTGAGTGTTTGCAGTGGTTAGTGGAAAATGATGTCTGGTGTAGGGCCACTACTAACATTTACTGCCATTGTCTGTCTGTAAATTATTTTTTTAAAACAAATCAACTGTTTAATCTGTAAAATATTAGAAAACAGTAAAACTGGTTATCCCACCTTGCTAGAGTCCAATATGACATCTTCAGATTTGTCAGTCTCGAAAACCCCAAGATACAGATTTTACAATGCTATACAACAGAGAAAAGCAGCAAATCCTTACACTGCAGAGAATATTCTGTTTGTTACTGTCAGAACATTGAAATTACCAAAACCTATCATGTACCGACCCTATTAGCAAGCACTGTCTCTGTACTCAAAGCCTGATACAGCTAATTCCTCAGTGCCATGAATATTATTGGCCAAAAACAATTGAAAACCCAAGACCTCTGAATTGAATGACAAACTAAGTTATGTGTCCAAGCACTGCAGAATCCCACATACAAGTGAGTTCTGATCTAATGCCCCTATCAGCAGGATAACCCACGTTGTCTGCACCTTCCTCCTGCAGGTGGAGGACTTTAATGCAGGAGGCCACTGCATTAAAGTCCTCTTAAAGTCCACCCTATACAGACGTTGTTGCTATATAACATCATATATCATCACCTGACTTCTCCATTACTCCAGCCATAATTACTATGGCTGCTTGAACACAGAAATTTGTCATTTTGGGGCACTTGCTGAAACAACTCTGGAAATACTCTATAGAATACCAAACGTGTACTAATCCTCCACTGAAAATAGTCCCTAATAAATACGTTATCTACTCCTGCCTGAGTAACGTTAGCTAAAAATGACAGTGCCCTGACCTGTGACCCTTTAAAGATTGACATCTTGTGAAAGCCATAGTTCTTTGTTTTTTGTTGTTTTCATGGGATTTGTTACCAATAACAAATACATAGAAACACTCCACCTGTATGCTTTAAAATTATTATTCAAAGTTCATTTGAGTAATGATGTTGCTTTATACTTGACTTCACTATTCCCTGAAAGACACTGTATAATCACATGATCTAGTTTTTAGCGTGAGCACATAGTGCTGGTGTAAATGTGACCTTTTATACACAGTTCTGTGTCTCCTCACTGTGCATTGCCTTCAGCTAGTGGGACTGCTTATCAAATAGAGAACCTGAAAAAAGAGAAAACCAAAATAGTTTTCTAGTTTTGTTCAGTTAATTTCAGTGATCATTTGGCCAATCACTGATCCATATGGCTTGATTCACTTCTGTAAACTCCCAAAGAGGTGATTTTTTCCCCCCCCCCCCCCAAATGACCTTTATTATCACTGTTGGTGTAGCCTACTGTATGTTCCACTCAGCTATAACAATGGCTTTCAATGGTAAACATCTCTTTAAGCAAAGACTTTTGCAACACAGTTCCAATCTCAAAGACTATTAAACATTGATTTCTTAAAATCGCACATTCACACTTAAACTGTTGGCTGCTCTTAGGCCAAATTATTTACCAATTAATCTTCCACAGTCCAATCATAAAATGAAAACAGGCGACAACAGTCTTACTAAAATAGGCTCAGTTCAACAAAATCACATGTTGTGTTGCAGCAGCCATCTAAAATATCATCGCTTAGTTATAACGTGGAAACTGGATCCAAATCTCCACAACTTCGCTGTCAACAGAAAAGAGGGCTCCTGTCTCTTCTCCCATGTCTTGATCATCAAACTTGTCACCACTTTGTAAGTAACACTGTGGCAGTGGAGCATCATCAGGACCAATTCATGAAAATCTAAACTTTAAGTAATCATCATCATACTCAGTCCGTTTTCTGCTCGCTCTGTCTCCTCTCTCACTGGAGTACTACATATCAATCTATTTTTTCTGACACATAGCCGAGCTGAAGTTTGATATTTACAGTTATTTTTTCTGGTTTATTTTTTTTCATGCTGCACATCCCCTGAAAACCTCTGGTGTCCCCCAGGGGCCTCACACTTTGAAAACCGCTGCACTGTAAAATATGTAAAGCTCTAGCTTATACCCCAAGCAACTTGTTATTACTATTATTATCACTGTAATTCTGGTAAATCTGATGTTTTTACTTCTGCAAGTATTGAGAAAATGCTCTGACCTGACATGATTCTCAACAGAAGACCAGTTTATGAGGTTGTTTTGACGATAGAGTGCAAAGTTTTCACCATCAAAAAAGACCTTTCACACATTTGATCAGTATTTGTGTACATTAAACAATACTACCTCAGAATTTGAATCTTAAACCTTAGCTTGGGATAAATTCAGGAGACACTTTTAAGAACTATGACAATATCTGCAAATAACACAAGCTTTTACATATAAATATATTTATTATTTGACACTGATGCATGTGCATCAAAAACCCAGTTGGTCTTATTTTATTTTGAGATAAGAAATAAGCTTAGACAAAGTAACTGTTCACAATTCCTGCTTATATTGCCTCTGTTCAAGCAGCAGATGGTGACAAATGAAAGGAAAACCCAACATACAGTGTCTCTGTGAGGTGTTAGGCCTCCACGTGGCACCAGAACAGTTTCAGTGCACCTTGGCACTGACTCGCCAAGTCTCTCAGCTCTACTGGAGGGATGGACACCGTTCTTCCAACAGATAATCCCTCATGTGGTGTTTGATCAGGGTGGTGGAGACGCTTTCCAACACGTCGCTCCAACAGCTCCCATAACTGTTCCGCTGGGTTGAGACCTGGTGACTGTGAAGGCCACAGCATATGATTCACTTCAGTTTCATGTTCATCAAAACATTCAGCCCTTGCATCCTCTGGATGATCTGCAATAACTCTTCCCTCTAAAGGAACAAGTGGACCCAGACCATGCCAGCATCTGCATTTGTTATGTTTGTCCACTCATTTATTCAGGTTTTTCCTTTGTCACCAGTCTGTAATTATTTAAAATCATCATCACAGCGTTTAAAGGTCTTTGTATCTTATTTTGTTCTTGTTGATCATGACATTAACTTTCTCATCCTAGCCTGAAAATGTTTCCCCATAATACGCACACACACACACACACACGTGTTTTCATTCCTCGTGGGGACTGTACATTGACTTACATTCATTTCCTAGAGACTTATCCTAACGTTAATCATAACCACTACCTGCATAAGCCTAACCCTCCCCCTAACATTTAACCTAACCCAAACCTTAAACCATTTTGTTACCCTAAAATTGGTGGGGACCAGCCTCTGGTCCCCACAGGGAGAGCTGAGTCCTCATAATGTGAATGTGTTAACAGGTTTCGGTCTGATAATGTGAGTAATAGCAAGGGAACACACACACACCACTCTCAACAACAGCTTGACATTTTAGAAATGTTTACTTTCATATTGTTTTTATTTAGTTTCTCATATTCTTCTGACCTTCTCTGTGTTATCTTTATAATGTCAGCAGGCAAGTTATTTTAAAGTTTATGAGTGGCATGTGGCTCATCTGCCAAACATAATTGTTTATGCAGTGGGTCTATTTTATTATAAGTGGGAAGGTCAAACTAGTGAGATGGGGCAAGGACATGGTGTAGAGGGACAGTAAAGAAATATAAAGTATTATTTATGTCCATGCAGTTCTATGGTGTGTAAAACCTGTGTTGATTAGACAGGTAATTCTCAGGCAAGTTACTGTACATGTATTCTGATTCACATGTCAGAGTAATCCATTTGTAAAATGAATGTGTAAAATGATACTAAGCACTGATGTTAATCCCTTTTAAAACTTTCATACACAACCAAGCAAACACACATAAGCTGATTTTAATCAGAATTTTATTTGTTTGTTTGTTTGTTAAATTTGATTTCCTGCATTTCCAGCAAAAAAAAAAAAATCTAATATTATAAATTCACTTTTTCCAGTCAGTAAATTGTGTGTACAGCCACTTTATTACTCAACCAGGTGAGTCTGGTGCCACTTTATAATGTTTGTTAAACAACATGTATTTTCTTTTTCCAGAGAAACTCCTGTCATTTTGTCCTCTAAACCAAAAAACTAATCCTGTTAGAGTGCTGGTTGGTTTCCAGAGGCCTGAGAAAATAACAAAACTGTGTGTAGAGGTCAGTAGGAGCTCAACAACTATTTTTTGGCCCAAAGGCCCTCGTGAGGTTAATAAAAGTAATATGCAATGTTAATGTATTATCTAGTAGCATCTTACAGTATGTGAGTACTTTTTCAGCCAGGGATTACCAATTTAATTTCTGCAAATACATTTCAGTTATTAGTATTAACTACTGTACTAGTAAGTACAGTCTGTTACTTTGTCATTTGGAGTTCAGCTTGTTTGGTGGGTCTGCGCTCAGTGGATAGACTGGTACTTGTGTTAGCTTGGCACAAACGTGGACTAGTGTGACTCCATGTGGTTCCAGTTGTCTCATTCACATGTTGTGTTTCCATAGCTGACTTGCTAATGTTAGCCACTGGTGGGACTACACGTAGTTTACATCAAAGAATCATCTAATTTAGTTACGAGTCGGAGGTGGAGGTGTTCAGTACATGTACAAACAAATCTCTGTCATTGAATTTTTAAAGTGTCCTATACTGTATCAGCTTTATCACTGACCAAATCAATAGCTTTTAGTAGCTAAGCAGAGGATTTGTAATTTACTATACATTATTTTCTTTAAAGCACATTAAAAGCTTATTCAAAACAGTGAAAGCCACAGAAACAAGAGGCTCCTACTTATTACACTTATGTACAGAGTAGGCTAGTTTTGTACTGAACTGTACAGTAAGTGTTAGCTTAGAATAGCAATAGACTGGATGTACTACTGAGTCAGTCAGCTCTGAATGTTGACTACACAGTCAGTGGCTACAAAATCTATGTGCTGAACTGAACTAAATGATTAGAATCAGCAAAGAGAGTTGGAATTTACACTTCTAATTGGCAACTTTATTGTGAATTTGGGATCACAAGTGTAAAACAATAAGCTTGGGGGTCAGGGAGAGTGACTTCCTTGTCTTAATGTGTGATTTAGTGACTTCTGGAGGTGGTCTTACGCAAATCTTTTTTTGACAGAGCTAGGCCACATGTTTTCTTGTTTTTAGTTGTTATGCTAAGCTAAGCTAACCATCTCCTGAACACAGCTTCATATATATAGATATTTAGTATATACCTAACAGCCAATACTGTATGCATGTTTGTTTTCCAGATTTGTTTGGGTTTGCTGGGAGGTGTTAGCTGAGTTCAGCTCAGTGTTTGAGTGAATTGTCAGGCTTCAGCTGTGCTTCTCTCTTTTCACCTGCCTGCCCTTGAAGCCTCACCACTCCCTGCTGCTGTTGCAGTGCTAACATACCCATTTGCCAAGTGCACCAAGCTGTGCTCATTCATTGGTTTACTAATGATTCACATTTCTCTCCCAACCCTGTCATATGAAAAGCTTTCATTCAACTGTGATGTACAGATTTAAAAATACCGATTTTTATTTTGATTGGAACAAGGAAAGCGGAGAAGTCAAAACGTACCATCAAAATGGATGCTTCATGCTGAATGGCGGTGTCATCTTAAATATGGTCATCCTTAATGTGGCAACTATGCCAGCAGGCTTCAGGTGCTGGTGTGGTGTTGAAGAGACAGTGGATGTGGTGCAAAAACTGTATATGAAAATTATTAGGATGTGAAGGGGTAGTCAGAAAAGTGAAAGAGTATTATAATTTTTGTTAATAATTGTTCATTCTTGTTAATTTGACATTTTTGGGGGGAGTGGGAAGGGGTCTTATATGTTTTTCTTAGCCAACATTTTGTGAGATTTATTATCTCAAGAGCTACATGACAAAGGTATCATGTGTATCCTCCTACTCCTCATGAAGATACCATTAGCAGAAAACACTACCATGTATCTGTATTAAGGCTTTATTTTCACATTCCCCAAACTACTAACTAATAGGGTCAATATGTCTCAGTATGTGTGGAATAATAGTGACTGAATGCTAACTCTAGCAGAGCTTCATTCTTTGACTAATAGTTCTATTAATCATTGAAGAGAGAGCAAACATGTTCATAGTGGCTGTTTATAATTTGCGACACTTTATATATGATCTGTTCTCCAAACACAATCCAGTTAGGCAGACAGTAACCAAGAAGCCTAAAGCTCTGTTTATGTGTATCATTTTACCTGTAAAACCTAAATCCCTTATACGTAAAATGAGGGCTTAGCAGAGCATTCATTAGTTATGATTTCAAATACTGAGAGTGATTCTCCCCTCCTCCCCTTTAGAATTTCACCCATCCCTTGACCACTGATACCAATTATACAGTTGAGTGAATACAATATTCATTTAATGTGCCAATTTCTGTCTTCATAACATAGTATTGTCTATAATGTACTCTATGAATACATGAGTATACACACAATATCATACTAATACATAGTGTATATACATACACAAATATATAAACCAACATACATGCCTGCACCCACTTTTATATATAAATACACATGCCTACAGAAGGTACATACATACAGTATATCAAATCATTAAGTGTGTAAATATAACATAATATAGAATCAATTATTAATATTTATAGTATTAATATACCGATCCTGCCCTGTGATAGCCAAGTGTCAGCTGGGATTGGGCCCCCCCACAATCCTGTTCAGAAAGCACAGTATAGATGAAGGATGGGTGGATCAATATATGAATCCAGCACAATAAGAGTAATATCAAATACTATATCAAATCCCTCTGCCATAAGATTTTACATCATCATTACAGTCTGTTTAGTAGTATTAAATATATTTTTGCTTTGATTGTTTCTGCTTTTGCACCATTGAGTCTGATCCATGTATAAGAGAATGTCTACTAGGGAACTGAACCACTAGTTTATTGGAGGAGAGTTAAGTTGCTGCCATCTGTTAGCCAGCATTCCTTTGGCTGCAGTGCAGCCTGCAAACTATGCTCATCTCTGATCTGGGTTTAGCTCAAGAGAAGTGTCATCTAGTAGGAGCACAGTGTTTGTAGTACACAGAATATTGATCTAACAAATATTAGAAATATAATCTGAAACTTTTGTTCAAAATTCATGAACTATGGGACACTTCATGTGTAGAAATGTACCCATTGTATTTGGTAGGCATGATGTACAGTCTGGGGACATGCACAGTTTCATCAGGAAACCTTTTTAGGTGTTAAATGTATATGTTGATTGTTAATGTTCCAGGATCCAATATCTGCATTTTTCCATACAGTGCCCCACTTAAATGAATAAGTAACACTGTTGAGGTCTGCATTTCATCTACTAAAATCATGTAGTCCCTTATAAATGATATGAGTGACTCATGTTTAATAAAAGGGACACATGGTTTGTATGCCATAACTTTACCAGTTGCTAATTTCAGTGGTGTGCCTTATGAAAAATAACATTAGCTGCAACTGCATGCTGATATATCACCAGGCTACTCGGCCACCTGTATTGAAAGTTCAGAAACACAAGTAGGCTGTCAGTTTTTCAAACAGTGGTCAACAGTGATTGGCCACATCCACCGATGTCAGCGCAACTGGGGTAAAGTTCAACAAATTTAAATTTTCTATGCTCGTCTCTAATCCACCCGGTGCACTGTGGATGTCGGTGCAGATGTTTGGCTGCACACTACATACACAACAATGAGGAACTGGCAAAAGCAATTTTTTCTGAATTGGAACCAACCTCTCCTCCCCACTTCATTAATTTTCATAGAGTCCCTTAGGACAAACACATTTGCATAACTATGCATTTAAAGCAGTATCCTTCTTTCCTACAGTTTTCTAAATGAATAGGGTCCATTGATGTCACTGGCAGAGGTTAGCTAAGAATGCATTTTTCAAAATATCTTCATAATGTGTTTTCCACTGACTTCATCTTGCTGTGTTTTCTGTGTGTGTCCTGCAGGGCGAGCTCCTGAGCCCCTGCCGCTGTGACGGCTCTGTGCGCTGCACCCATCAGCCCTGCCTCATCCGCTGGATCAGTGAGAGAGGCTCCTGGAGCTGTGAGCTCTGCTACTTCAAATACCAGGTCCTGGCCATCAGCACCAAGAACCCTCTGCAGGTAACAGAAAAGCATTTGCACCACGTACACACAAACCACAGCATCAACTGTTGAGTTACAGATTTTCTGCAACACAACATTTTTGGCAATACAAGGCTTCCCACTCCCCACTTGAATTGTTACTGTTGCAGAATTTGAAATAAAAAGCCACTGCAGCACTGCTACTGCGCCCATCCTGATGAATCTGACTCACACTGCACATGGGATTCAACTCACAAACAGACCAGCACAGCATGGCTCTGTTCAGTTTGGTTAAAAAAAAAAAACAAAAAAAAACTCCTGAACAATTTCCTTACAAAACACACCCAGCACACCTTTTGACTGGGATTCACTGCTTTGCATAAACATAACATAAACAAGATGATTCTAGTGTGTGAATATGTAAACTCTTCCTCAACTTGCCGACAAACACGGTTATGCTCTGTGAGGTGTCATTTTTTAAAATTCATGAGTGAATCAGGCAGGGAGATCTTATCTCATGGAGAAAAGAAGTCGCTGCTGACAGAGACATTTCATAATAACATATACAACATACTGATGCTGCTGCATCAGACCCAGCACTCTTTCTAGAACAAATTGTGGGCCATCGCGGTGGTGTGAGGACTGCTTGCCATATTGTGCTGACACATTTTCCCTCTGCGTCACTCACCTTCTGCCCTCCTGCTCAGAGGCAGCCAATGGCTCCAAAACCTACCGAGAGGACGCCGTGTATGTGTTGTTTGTTTGTTTGTCCGACATATTTGTTATGTAGTATTCATATAAGTAGATGTCAGTGTGAAGCGATAATGTCGACCAACTGTGGGAAGTAACTAAGTACGTTTACTACATTTACTCAAGTACTGTATTTCCACTTTAATGCTGCTTTGCCCTTCTACTTATTTTCAGACAGAATTTTACTTAACTAGATTTAGTTAATAACTATAGTTACTAGTTTCTTCATATTTAACATTAAAACAAATGATTAGCTTATAATGTACAGAACTGTTGTTACATAATAAACTAATTGCTCCCAACTTTTTGACTTATGGCTATTCATCAGTTCCTATTTAGTGGCACAGGGAACATTAGTTCAAATAATCTGGGTTTTTTTATCACAGAAATTGGTTTATGTTTATGTTGGAATGTTTATGAGGAAAATAAATAACTAAATAAATCTGCACAATACCCAGTACGTTCCAAGCTACGATGGACTGACTGCACATTGCCTGCCTCCTCCCAGCCAGTGTCAGTTATAACCACCATAAGCCACTGAGAGTAGATGAAATAGTCATACTAAATTTGTGGACAAATTGTTTAAATAGCTAATAGTATTAGATAAAGAGTTGAAATAGATAAATGTAACAAACAACTGAAAAACTGGTCTAAACATATAGTCTACTTTAAAGCATATTAAAACTGACATTTAAAACGCCACAGGTGGTGTTGATCAGGTGGAATATGAAGCTGTCAGCACTGCAGGGCTACATCAGACAGAAAAGGCTGAGAACCAGCGACTTACACTAAAGCAGTGTCTGGCTAGGGCTCCTTGTCATGTTTCAGGTGTCTATAAGTTGGTTACACTATCGAGACACTTTCTTCTAAACTTATTTTCCCATTAATCTTCTCACATCATCAATAAATGAAAACAATAAGCGTGTTTTATTTGTAGTAACGTATAAACCAAGCTGCTGTATCTGCTGTAGAACCAAGCTGAAAAACAGCTGAACGTGTTGATGTGTGGCTTTCATTTACAGCACTGTATGTCTATAAGCATTTCTTTTTCTCAATTTTTGCTCAGTAATTTGGACTTATGGCCAAAAAAATGGCACATGCATTTGCGGTATGGGTAGTTTAAAAGGAAATAAAAAGACCAAAATGTGTGTGTAGAAAGTCAGCAAAAATATAAAAACTTTTCCTTGTAATTTAATATGTTTGCATTATTGCACTGATGCTTTTACTTGAGTAAAGGATCGGAATACTTCTTCCAGCACTGATATGAGATGCTTTTCTACTTTCCAGTGGCAGGCCATCTCTCTGACTGTGATAGAGAAAGTGCAGATAGCAGCCATTATTCTGGGTTCCCTGTTCCTCATTGCCAGCATCTCCTGGCTCATTTGGTCCTCCCTCAGCCCCTTGGCCAAGTGGCAACGTCAGGACCTGCTCTTCCAAATCTGCTATGGCATGTATGGCTTCATGGATATCGTCTGCATAGGTAAAGGCCAGATTGGAAGTCTGACACCAAAATATAGAAATATGAAATCACACTGCATTATTATAGATATTTTTAGCAGGTGCAGCTTCAGATGAATTGTATAAGAAAGCGACATGAAGAGCTACACACAGCAGAAGGATTAGGTGGCTGAGCACATAGAGATGCATTATACAACAAGAAGAGTGGCAAAGAAAACACAGTGTACTCTGCAACAGTAAAAATATTAATAAACATCGGGTGCATTATGCAAGGACAAACCAACATGGTGAGACAGAACGTATTAATTTCACATAGTTAAGGTCATACCACATTACTAAACTAAATAAGCAGATGGCGCATAGGTAGGAGATTACAAGCACAGTAAAAGCCAAGCAAAATTTGATGATATTGCCGAGTACAAGAGATTCTGTTTTCTAACAGCAACCTGGTTGAGCCTGTGAGCTGCACGTGTAAGACTACACAGGGAACAGATGGCATCAGATATCTGCACTGTGATTATTGCCAACTGTCTATTCTCATCCATAGGCGAGATGGAGGGTTCCTAACTATGATGCTGATTGCAGCTTTTAGCATTATATTTGATGTATAGCAGTGGGAATTAATCGGCTTTCGTGCACTGTCCTTCACCCTGCTTCTTCTTTTTTTCTGCCCAGGCCTCATCATCCATGAGGGATCATCGGTGTATCGAATATTCAAACGATGGCAGGCTGTCAATCAGCAGTGGAAAGTATTGAACTATGAGAAATCAAAGGACTTGGGCGACCCGGTGAGTTTGAGCAGTAAGACGGGGACTCGCGGCTCTCGTGGTAACCCTCGTGGTCTGGCCAGCGGCAGCGGTGGCCGACAGAGCAGGAGGCTAAGAACTATTCTGAACCACCACTGTGGATACACCATCTTGCACATCCTGAGCCAACTGAGGCCCAACGACCCGCAGATCAGCTCCGCAGCCAACCGTGAGGTGGTGATGAGGGTCACCACTGTATGAGTGGGACTAGGGCACGTGGGATGGAATAGACCTTGTCTTTGTGTAAATGAGTGGAGGGACTTATGGAACTGACATTAAATACTAAAGACTCACTTGGGCAACAGGAGCCGTGTGAGAAGCTGAGTGATGCCCGGAGCATCAACAGACAGACACACTTGAGGATTTCTCCTCTTGTTTCATACAATAGGAGGAAGCCAGATGCTCCTTTTTAATAATTAAAGAACTGATAAAAAATAAGAATGAAAAAAGCATTAAAAGACATCAAACATGAAATATGGGGGGGGGGAGGGGGAGTGTAAACAGGCTTTATAACCTAATCCAAGATGATGAAATGTTTTTTCCACTCTAATATCAGGATGCTCAGAGACAATTTTCTTTTTGATTTGGTTCCTCCTGGTTTAATTTGTATCTATTGTTCTTTTTTTTACTCACTTAGATTTTTCTATGGATGTTTGGTTTGAGAGGAAATCACGTAATTCCATACATGCCAAGCATTTCCAGTATAATGATCTTAAAATTTCTACAAGCTAACAGATGCTGGTAAATAGACCGAAAACTGAATCAAACAAAACAACGATGAGGAGGATGACAGAACAATAAGTCATTACAAGTTTAAAAAAAAAAAAGAAAATGAAAGAAAGAAAGAAAAAGAAATCATTAAGATTTCAATGACACTTAAACTTTCTGCAATAAAGATACATATGTACATTTCACAGAGATTTTTGCATGGGTATATAATTTTATTCTTCATCACATAACATAAGCACATGACAAATTATCTCTATTTCGAATGGTGCTTGCCAAAATAAACACTTTAAAAACATTTGATTTCAGTGCACCAACCTTTTGTCATAATGACAAATGGCAGTGTGTTATTTCAGCTAAAATACAGATTGTTGCTGCTGTGTGCCGATTTGATAATAAGTAAACTATTGGATTAAAAATGGAGAATCAAATGATCTCTTACTAATCAGTCTTGTTCGGTCTGTTCTTTACCCCACTCGTAGCTTAGACCGTGCATGGTTTGGTCGAGTGTGTCATTGTTTTCTGCTGTGAAAATGTAGTGAGGTAGTAATAAGGGAATATAAGTAAAATGGGACACCTGTTATTTACAATAGTATTTTCATTTATTTACTTGTTTAAACTGACTGAAACTCTCCCTTAGTCCAAAAAGAAATCAATCAAGCAGATTCTGGTAAAAGGAATTTGTTCAGAGTAGAGTTATCAAGCAAAAAACTCATTGAATTAGTCATTATCTGGTTGCAGCTTCTTCAATGTGATATTTGCTGTTTTTCTCTATTGTATCAAAATTTTAAATCAGTATTTTGGAGTTTTGTGCAGTTAGTCTGATAAAACAAGATATTTGGGGCTCTGGGAAATAGGGCACTTATTTTTCACTATTTTCTGACATTTTATAGACTAAACAGGAAAATATTCTGCAGATTCACAGGTGATGAAAATAACCATTAGCTGGAGCCCTAGATCAGAAGAATACTCACAGCTCTTGCAGTATAATATTTAAGTTCCTTTACACAACAGAATTGAATTCTTGTGATGCAATAAGAAATGCTACAAATAGCACAAAGTACAAATCTACAGAAAAAAATATAAATATAGAGAATATAGGAATATTATAGTACCATAAAGCACAATGTAGTGCCACAATATGACCACTATAAATTTACTGTTAGGCACCACAGACACTATACTACCTGTTATAAGAATTTAATAGAAATATTATGAGCATACATTAAGAACATTATAGTGACACTACTGGACATTTAATAGCCAATGTAATTACAGGAATTCCATAAAAACTCTTGACACACCAAATTCCCCAAACTATGCTATAGTAATTCATCCATCTACTCAACATGGTGGTCCTTGTATAAATACAGGACAGACCAGCACTAAGCTTATGTTCACATTGCAGGCCTTACTGGTCAATTCACATCTTTTCTGTCACATCTGATTTTTTGATGATGTTTCACTACCAGTCAACAGTTTTGACACATGTTCCCCTTTAGTTCAATGGGAAAGGCTGGCAAGAACGTGTGTCCAAACGTTTGACTGGTGGTGTATGTAGGCAACATGTGTTTGACTCATGTGTGAACACTGCTGAGGTCCTACACTGTCACACATGCACAGATGTAACTGTAGTGTGGACCACACACATTCAAGAATAACAACAAGATCAACTGCGCCACGGTCAAATTGTGCAGTTCCCACAAAAACCACTCGGCTCCTTCCAGCTTGGCTTGACCAGATGTTTTTCTGTGTCTGGTTTATACATACATCCACAAAAAGGTCAGATTTGAGTCATTTGGAGGGGGAAAAAAGTTAAAACTGTGCCACGTCAGCATGTGATGTGAACATACAGCCTATGGCCATGTTAGGAGCTCTGTAGGGCTGAGTCTGCACAGCACAACTTTGAGGTAAATCCTAATGCTAGCATGCTAACATGCTCAAGGTGACTATGTTAAACTACATGATAATGTTAAGTGGGTAAACTGTTTACCATGTTAACCATCTCAGTTAGCATGCTAACATTTGCAACTCCAGATCTTATGATGTTATAACTGGGAGAGCTGGCAGAGCAGACAAAAATCAGACTAGGGCTACTCAAAGGCAAGGTCCAGGTGAGCAAACAAAGGCAGTCAGTGCATTTGAGAAAGGGCAGGCAACAAACAGCGACTCAAGGAACAAAACAGGTAGGTAACAAGTCAAGCAGAAATGTGGAAAGACACTCAAACCAATTTTAGTGAATGATCTGGCAGAGGCTGAGTGGAAGACTGCAGGTATTTATCCTGGCTGGTTGATTTAAATATCCTTCAGCTGTGTTGTCCACCTGTGGCAAATACATATGTTACATACTTTGTTAGATTTATCACCTCAGGACCATGTATGTTTGCACCAAACGTGCCAAATCATCAAGCTATTTCACTGTAAAAGTGAAAACTTCAACCTGGTGGTGACAATGGAAGAAAAGTTTGGGGATCACCATATTGAGCAGGAGCCATCCTCTGGGGACTGTGATTGTCTTTAAAAATCTTCATGGCAGTAGTTGATCTGATATTTCACTCTGGACCAAAGTGGTGGCCAAAAAAGTTTATACTAAAAGGCAAAGCAGAAAGGACAGGGAGGACCTGTACAAATCACAGTGACGATAACAGGCTTTTTTCATGGAAGACATTTTGAAATGTTACAATGTAGGGGTAACTAATCCAATTAGTGATGGATGGACTGCATGAAGCTGCTTTGGTTTCAGGGCTATTGTGTAGGCTGTGCTCACTATCAAGGCCTACTGGTAATGTTACCAGTAACACCTTTGCTTTCTTTTTTTTGAAAATATTGTTGTGAAAAAGACATATCAAGGTTAGATGAGGATGGCTGAACACAAGCTGTCAAACAGGCAGCCTACAAGGATCTATCAGCTGGTGATCAAATGGTCAGCATTTGGTTTGTTGTTCAGATCTGTACAGTGTGTAACCAAAGTGTCTCAGTAGCCTACAAAAGCTCCTCCTGGTTTTCAATCAGTCAGCATTTGTCGCCACCCAGTGGCTGCTCCTGCTCTCCCACCCCTCAGGGTAGATTTCTTTGGAGGACATAAAAACAAAACACACTCCTTTCTGCTGCTAGAAAGTGTACAAATACCTGCTGTAGGTATCATCACAAGGTGTCTGGTTAGTTTTGTGGCATTCTTTGTATATTTTGATATAAACATCTTATTATCTCTTTGCTGTTTGTGTATGGGGTAGAAGGAACAAAGTAGGTATCACAGTCAACGCCATGTAGCCACTGGGTTTTCTTAAGACAGCTGTATGGTGGTTAGTGATTACAGTGACTTTTTATTTTTGGTGAAAGTGGTGGATGAAGTTCTCCACATTTTACTTAAGTAAAAGTATTCAATGCAGAGCGACTGCTTAGTCACAGGGGTCATTTTATTATTGATGCATTAATGTGTAAGCAGCATTTTACTGTTGTAGGTCATTTTTATTCATTATCTGATTTAAAGTATTTAGCACTGCTCTATACGGTATGATTATCATTATTATGTATTCATCTCTCAGTTGATAATATTTGGTTTGCAAAAGTTCAAAATAGTGAGAAATGCCTGCTACAGTTACCCAGAGCCCAAAGTGAAACTTTCACAGTGCTTTGTTTTGTCCCACCGAAAGTCAAAACCTCAAAATTATTAAAATAATTCAAAATAAAAGCAGCAAATTGTCACATTTGAAAAGGTGGAATCATGAAATTGTGTCAGTTTTACATGATAAACCATTTAAAGGTGAGTAATTGTTGCTAATTAATTTTCATTTTAGGTCTACTTGTAGGCACATGTTGTTTAATATATAACAAAGCATCATAACATCTCCTCATGTTTTCTATGCAATGCTTGTACTATGTAAAGTAATTATGAACCATAGCAGATTGAAAAATGTAGTAGAATAAAGACAACACTACATTCATTTAATATATTCTGTTTACTTCACATAGGGCAATGCAGAAAAGCAGCATACTCAGCAGCTGGAACCAGCAAAATACTGGTATTTTTACTTAAAGGGTGACAAAAGTAGTTAATTGATTGTCATAAAAGTTGCTGATTAATTGTCTTTCAACTGACTATTTGAAAAATCAACTCTGATCTAAAAATCTGGCTGCTGTAATGATTTAGGGTTTTCATTTCCTTGTTTTACTAAATCTGTGGCTTTCGGGGGCCCTACAAGGGACCTGATGTTAATTTAGGGGTCCCCAGATGATTACAAATAAGCAACTTAAACAAGTTTCTGTTACACAACATCATGGGCAGTTTTCTTTAATATAGATTTTTTTTATTTGACAGTACTTCTTGAGTGATCTGTAAAGACTGCTCAAATGAAGTCAATCTGAGAAGAAAAAATTCTGTTCTTCTATTAAACTGCTCACAATCATGGACAGATTATGAGACAATGTATAGTAATTCTTATGTCCAAGAGCCGGGGTCTGTCTGAGGTTTCTTTTGTTAAAGGGAGTTTTTCCTCCCCACTGTCGCCAAGTGCTGCTCAAGGTCGGATTTGTTGGGTTTTCCCTCTGTACTAACAGTGATAACAGTAAGGTCTAGACCAGACCTTACTTTGTAAAGTGTCCTGAGATGACTTTTGTTGTCAATTGGCACTATACAAATAAAATTTGATTTGATTTAATTTGACATCTACTTCTAACAGCTCATTACAGAACTTGTAACAGGGGCACAAAGAGAGAGGTTTGAGATCAATGTATTAGTTACTCAAAACATTGTCTGGTCTAAATAAAATAGCACATCCTGTGTTAAAGTCCCATATACTGCATAGTTTAAATAAATAAGAATGGTCTCAGGTAAACCAATTATGTCATCAGTGCACAAGCAACCTTTAAAGATAATGGATCAGATCAATGAAATGGCACCACTACAATGCAACAGACAAACACACCCATAATAAAGTCCACATCCCTACATTTCATGTGTATGGTTTATTTTGAAGTGTTTCCGGAAAGTATTCATGTTCTTTGCAGAGACTTTTATTCTGAAGTTGAACAAGTAAAAATATCTACTTACACAGAGCATATAACTTGAAGTCATCTGGGTTAAAAGTGTGAAACCTTTTTTTACTTTAAGATGTATGTTGGTAAAGCCTGGCGTACCTCTGTTTTATTTTATGTAAGTCTTCAACGAGTCTCGTTTCCTCCAGACCAGGATCAGGTCGGTCTGGGTATGAACCGGGTCACGTGGTACAGACAGGCTCGACAGAGGTTTCTTGTGTCAGTGTCACCGTTGTTGCACCTTTCCTCCCGTCCTCCCTCCCCTCTATACCCGTCCGGTGAGTCCACACCTCGTCCCTGCTCTCCATAAAGACAGAGAAGCGACGGAAGAGCAGACGAGTCATTTAGTGTAGCGCAGAAATGTGCTGCGTGTTGACAAGTTTGACCTGAGTTTAAGGAGACGATTCCCGCCACTCGTGATGCAGATGTTCTCCTTTCTGCGGCCAGGTAAGACTTCCGATGGTTTGAATGACACTTCTGTGTGTTTATCACCACAGCCTCGTTGTGCATCTTTGTGTTTTTATTGTCAGATGGCGCTTCCTAATTCAGGCATCCAGATTTTGAACATTGTAACAAGGGTTTCTAGTGTGACATAAACTTCATATTAACCTTATCATGCTTAATGGCTTTTATCATTTCCTGCTATAATATGGCTGGGGGCAGATAAATAAAGGGATGGAAG